TACATTTTGTCATAAAAGGAAAAGATTATCATCAAGATTGGCGAAGAGGTCCCATGGTACCAAAGGATCTGTCATGTCCAAGTCCCATTGTTCTATCGAATCTTCAGCAAGATATGATGAGGATTCACTTCTTGAAATATTACTATACAAAGAAGAGAAAGAAGAAGACGAGATAGATATCTCATTGCCTTCGAATAGAGATTCGATGTCTACTTCTTCTGCACATAGAGTTTTGCAAGTTTTCGCCAAAAGTTCTTCATCATCATCAGATATTGTTAATGTTTTTGTTGTTTCTGCTATGACATCATTTTTTGGAGTTTGGTCCTTCATCTCTTCTCCTTCATTGGTATTAGAACACATGTTTGGATTTGTTTTTTGGTCAGATTCGGTTTGGTCGGTAATATTATTAATCGGCTCATGTGTAGATGGATCTAACCCAAGATGTTTCATCTTCTTCTTGATCTTCGTATTCCAATGATTTTTTATCTCGTTATCCGTTCGACCAGGGAAATGAGAGGCAATTTTAGACCACCTATGACGTTCAAAACATTCATAAAACACGTAACAAGTTGAAAGTTAGTCTTACAAACTTCAAAAAATAAAATTAACATGAAGGATAAATATAATATATAGATAAATTTAATCATATGCATAAATCCTCCACATTCTGTTTTTTCTTCTTCTTCACAACCGAAACTTCATTCGAAAACAACCCACTTATATACGTCCAACTCAGTTTTTTTTCAAGAAAAAATATTATCACAATTTTCAGAAATAATATAAATTTTTTCTTAGATGAATTGAAGGAAGCTGAGTAAAACATATCGGACCTAAATCCAAGCAGCGTGTTACATTTAGAGAGATATTTTATTTGTCAAAAGTTCAGTTTGATACCGGCTAACGAAAATATTGATTATAAAGAAAGAAAAATTGATTTATCGTACCGGTTGCCAAGTTGAGAGTGAAGTTCCATAATCCGATCTTCTTCTGCATCAGTAAAACCACCTCTCTTGAGATCGGGTCTCAAGTAATTAATCCATCTCAATCTACAGCTCTTCCCACATCTCAGCAAACCTACATGCACACGTCGACATCAAACCCCCAAAAAAAAAAGCAAGAAAATAAAACCCTAATCATGCATGCACGTATGTATAAATTAAGAAATACCTGCGAGTTTTGGGACAATTCTCCAGCAGTGGATGCCATTGTGAAGAATAAAGTTCATGAGTCTATGATCTTCTTCTATAGTCCATGGACCTCTCTTCAATCCAATCTTGTCACAACAAGGTTTTCTCCCCATTGAAGTTAGTTCAAAACCAAGCTCTAATCAATATGACATTTATCAAATATCATGGATATAGCTAATGTTAATTTAAAGCAGAGGGAGAGAGATTAAGTTAGTCAAAAATATAAAGAAGAGAGCTTTGGATCAAGTAATGGGCATTACTTATAAATAATAAGAGGTGAGTTGGGAAGGGCAAAGATTCTCTCTTTAGACAGGTCACTTACAGGCTAAAAGACAAATAAATCCAAAATTTAAAGCAAAACACCAATAAGTGAAGCAGTAAATAATGATTGGAGAGCCAATTAAAGAAAGATTTCGTGAGAAGTGTGTGAGGTAGTTACAGAATAATATGAACTTGTCGACAAACTACTTTTGAGCTTATATATGATTCATTCATTATAAAAGTTTGCACTAAAGCAATACTTAAACTAAATGAAAATTTTATGCGATGTCTATAGCCATTACATAATTATCTTCTGTTGTTTCTATAAAGAGACACTAATTAATTAGTTAATCTCGTCGTGACAGATGAATCATTTATTAGTGACCGGATATACAGTACATTGATTTGTGTTAGTGCTATTACAATGTCATAATCTGAATTCAAATCCGATAATCTGTGTATGTGGATTATAGATGAAGAACAAATATAAATAATAATCTATTTGTAATCTTCTAACTAATTCACAACAAACGTGGTGATTTCCGATAAATGAGACACATTTGATTGATCAAGCTTCTAAAAATTTGCTATTTTCAGTTATTTTCACCACAAAATCCACTTTTTTCAGACCTACATATTTACACAATTTTTTTTTTTTTTGCCATTAAAGATTAAAAGATTCAGT